AAGAACTGCTGGTACAGATGATCACACAGGGAACAGAGGTCAGCCACATATAGCTGATGTTAACAGTACACTGGAGTATAGCCTGACCTTGTATGCGACTTCACACAAACCAGAGCCACTCCTTCCTAATGACCATCATTGTCTTTTTTCCTGGAGTTTCTTCTCACTTGTTCATTAACTCCTAATTCCTGTCTTCAACTGTGTCTCAACTGTGTGCTTAGCACTAAGGATGTAACTGTAAATAGGAGACCCAGCTTGTGCTTACTGATGCATTTTAGTCACCCAAAGGTAAATATACCAATGATGAACTGCAGATGTGGTATAAATAGAAGAAATTATAGGTTCTGTGGGGTATGTAAGAAGAGGTCTTAACCTCACTAGGGAGTCAGACCTTTGGGTAATTGAATGGCTTTTCATTTGACTTATTGCTCTATAGAAGTAACTACAAAGACGCCTCTTGGTTTAAACAGTGTTAATCTTGAGTCATGGGGCAGCAACTGAAGAGCACGATTCAATAGCTGGTCAATTCCAAGGTTTCTGGGTGACTCAGCTCCTTAATTCCTCTGAGCCAGTTGGGCATTGAAACCATGAGCAACGGAAGGAGAGGCTGAGCCTGGTGGGCTGTGTCACCAGAGCTGTCTGACTGGCTTCTATGACCATGTGGCACACCCCTTTGTAGATTCTAAGTAATCATGTGGAGTCTACTTGTGACTGCTGGTCGTTCTTAGCTATTTTGATCTAGGCAGATAGAGTTATTGTGATTGTACTTTCTGCATCATGTTACAAATATGTCCCAGAAGACACCCATAGTTTCCAAAAATACACTTTTGTAGAAATGTAGAGAAATCCAGACAGGACATCAGTTCTAGGGAAATGTGTGAAATAGCTAAGACAGGACCTCACATCAAAATGAAGGGAAGCTAAAAACAAGGAAACGTTTCCATAGAAACAGAGAAGTAACTTAACAAAACCAGTAGCAACCGATAGTAAAAACTTACAGTAAATAAATATCAAAAAGGAGCATCTACCATTTGAAAAAGGGAGTCAGCCAAGCCTTATAATTACATGCTGGAGAGTGAGAATGGACCTTGTTTCCTAAGATGGAGAGCAGCTCAGATATAGATCTGTGATGGTTAGTGTATAAAGTCAGACCCAGAGCATACTTCAAACAAAGACACAAAGACAGTTTGCTGGAGTGAAGGATGTGTCAGAATGGATGGAGGAATGTTTTACAAGACTTCATCCCTAGATGAGGAGCTACAGGCAATCAATGACTGCTGAGGGTGGGAAAACCAGATTTTTTGTTTTGTTTTTTGTTTGTTTTCCTTTTTCTCCCCAAGGGCTGAGATCCCAATCCTGAACAGTCATCTCTACACACATGCAAATCAAAGCAACATGAGCTGTGCTCAGCAGGTTTTGTGTGTGTTTCGGGAGGGGTAGTATGCAAATATGGGAATATGAGGTCATGAATTTGAGAGACAATGTTCATGGGGGGTGGGGGACTGACATGGGAGGAATTGGAAGGGGGTATGAAAAGGATTCAAATGCAACAAACACACTGTTCACATGTACAAAATCCTCAAATAAATAAAATTTAAAAAATCGGTGCTGAAGCAATTGGATATCTGAATGTCAAGCAAAACATATTTAGCACTATATATGTATATATGTGTGTGTGAAAAGCATGGATAATAGATCATTGTGTAAAACACGAACACTTCTAAAATACAATATAGGACACAGTTTTGTGACTGGTTATGTAATTTTGGGTGGTAATTTTTCATATATGATAAAAAGACATAATTCAAAAGGAAAATACTGAACATCACCATTAGAACTACTGAGGCAGAGGTACATGGTTAAACACACCTGTAGTGGTACATGACTAACTTCAATACTAGGGAGCCTGAAGCAGAAGGGTCATGCATTTTAGGCCATCTTAGGTTACAGTGAGGATAACACAAAGACCAAACCAAAGCAAAGAATTAAAATGTCTGCTTTGCAAGTGACTGCTGAAGAATTCACAATTAAAATTCACAGACTCGGAGAAAAGATTTGCAAAGCACAAGTCTGATTGAAGGTTTGTGTCTAGAATATTCCAAAAGCAGTGAAATCTATTAATAAATGGACAATCTGCTGGGTAGTAATGGCTCACACCTGTATTCCCAGAACTCCGGAGGGGAGGCAGAGGCAGGCAGATCTCTGTGAGTTCAAAGCCAGGCTGGTCTACAAAGTGAGTTCCAGGACAGCCAGAGCTGTTCTACAGAGAAACCCTGTCTCAAAAAACCAAAAAAAAAAAAAAAAAAAGGACAATCTGATTATTAAAATAGAAAATATTATGGGCTGGAGAGATGGCTCACAACCATCTGTAATGATATATGGTGCCCTCTTCTGGCCTTCAGGGATACATGCAGACAGAACACTGTATACATACTAAATAAATAAATCTTTAAAAAATAAACAAATAAAAAGATGCCCAGCTAAAATGGGAAATAGTTAAAGAGACTGCTCTTTCAACAAGGAAGATATGTGGATGACAAATTTAGCATAGTGCATGACTCAGTAGGGAAATGTGATTAAGAGCAAAGTGACAGACTGCCTGCACACACTTGGCCAGCTAAAACAAAGCTCTTACCTGCCAGGGTGGAATCCTGTCGAGGTTGGGGGTGACTAGACTCAGCCACTGCTGGCAGGAAGATAAATTTACAACTATGTTGGAAGTTTCTTTAAAAGTGTCCTTGACAATTAAACACACGCTTGTTGTTTGCCTTAGAAATTCAATTCTTCAGTATTTATCTAAGGGGAAAAAAGTCATTTTTATAGGGAAGCTCAGTGCTTATAGGTGTAGTGCTTTTCTTCATAACTGTTTCAAAGTCAAAGCCTCTGGAATGATATTGAACTTGTTAATAGGTTAGGGAAAATATGACATATATATATATATATATATATATATATATATATATATATGTATATATATATATATATATATATGTATGTGTGTGTGTGTGTATGCACATGTGTATACATATATAACATATATATATTATGCAATTACATTCTTATATATATATATATAATGGAATGTAATTTAGCAGTGAAGAAGAGAGAACTATTGATTTATGAAGCAATAGGAACGAATCTAAGATGCAAGAAGCCAAACTTTAAGTGCTACTCCTCTCTTTCTCTCTCTCTCTCTCTCACTCTCTCTCTCTCATACACACACACACATACACACACACAGAGCAGATGCTTATGCCCAGCCAAAGAAACAATGCAAAGTGAAGAGACAACTGATAGGGTGGGAAATATTAGTGAATGCCACATCTTATAAATATATTACTATACTAATATATTAATATACTAATATAAAGATGTTACTATAGTAATATATTAATATACTAATATAAAGATGTTACTATACTAATATATTAAGAATTCGAAGATCTCAATAGCAAGGGATAAAAAACCCTGAGCTTAAAAATGGAGAAACAACCTGAGGAAACATTTCTTAAAAGAAGACATACAAAAACCTGTAGATGCATGAAAAAAAAGTTTTTTTTTTTTAAATCTCTAGTCATCAGAGAAATGCAAATTAAAGACGTAAACTCACACTTATTAGAATGGCTATTAGGAAAGTGCAAGATAGAACAAGCATTGCCAATAACTTGAGGGATGGGGTGGGGGGGGGGAGAAAATACTTATTGGAAATGTAAAGTGTTCCAGCCATTATTGAAGATAGTTTAGAGAGGTCCTGAAAAACTCTAAAGCATTAACTACTGTATGATCCTCAATCTCATTAAGTGTGTGTACACCTAAAAGAAGGGATATTCATATATCTGTATCTATAATCTCCTCATGTTTATTGCAGCACCATTTGTAAGAGCCATAAAGAATCTACCTAAATGTGTATCTGTGGATGAATGCATATAGAAGACAAGACATGTATATGTAACAATATTAATCAGCCTTAAAAAGTAGGTAATCCTATCATTTGTGACAATATGAATGAACCTGGAGTGCTAAGTTCCTTCTCTGTAACTGGTCTTGGGTGTTGTTCTGTGTCCTTATTGTACACATGGCACCCCTACAGGACTGTCCTTCCTCTGCTGCCACTCTCAGAGGACACTTGAAGGTCCCCAACTTTTGGTCTGCCGTGCATTGGGGGCTTGACTTATAAAGGCTAGGACCTTATGCTCTAACTCTTCATAAATACATCCAGGAAAGCAGTGATCTTATCAGATCAAATGATAATTTAATTTTTGAATGATGGGCATGCCATATACATCTCCATGCTAATACTGCTGAGTGATGAAACAGGATTAGAGCTTGTGAATGAATGGGCAAAGGTGAGACAATGTCTGGGGAAGAACAAAAGGAAGTGATTTTGCAGTCACAAGTGCATTCTGGTTCCACCTTACCAGTCCTTCAGGCACGTGCACAGGAAAGCACTGGAGGCCAGTACCTGGGAAGTGCCCAGCACTGTCACCTCCTCCACTGTGAAAACAGCAACGTGCTTTGATGATGCTTCACCAGCTCTACACAGAATAAAAAGGCTCCTGCCCTGGACTCCTTATCCACAGCCTGCTCAGAATCTCTCTGCTTTCTTTGCATCTGGTAAGTGCCCGTCTGGGACCATTTCATAACGTGGAGTGTGTGGGACAGACAAGCCAGATCTAAACTAGAACCCAAGGAAGAGGCCCACAATAGGCAGTGGGGCTGGGGGGGGGGTGGTAATGGTGAGGGAGGGAGGAAGGAGTCTTTGTGTTGGTCAGGCAGCTTTCTATCATTGCTCTGAGCATATGGATCTATCTGAGGGTGGTGACAATGCTCTGTACAGATGGGTGTGTACCTCTATGCTCTGGTTTATTTCATGGAAATCTCAGTTTAGGAAGCCCATAGATCTTGGGAGGAACGTGTGTGACAGACTAAGTCAAGAGATAGTCACTGGAAACCTCTCTACAATGTTTCTATTATACTTTTTAGGTCAAATTTCTGCCAAGATGTCCTGCCAGCAGAACCAGAAGCAGTGCCAGCCTCCACCCAAGTGCCCCTCCCCCAAGTGCCCTTCCCCCAAGTGCCCCGCAAAGAGCACAGCTCAGTGTCTGCCTGCAGCCTCCTCCTGCTGTGCTACCAGCTCTGGGGGCTGCAGTGTGCCCAGCTCTGAGGGAGGCTGCTTCCTGAGCCACCACAGGCGCAGGTCCCACAGATGCAGGCACAGGAGCTCCTCCAGATCGTGTGACCGTGGCAGTGGCCAGCAGTCGGGGGGCTCAGGCTGTGGCCACAGCTCTGGGGGCTGCTGCTGACCTGGATCCTGAGGCTGAGACGACAGAGTTTGGGAAACAGAGAGTACCAAGCAGTAGCCCCATAGTGACTTGTCCTTTCTCAGACATTCTAATCTCTCTTGGGCTAATGTGCTCTTCTAATGGATTTTCCAAAAGCGTGGTTCTCATTCTGATGATTGCTTCACCTGTGTCTAGCCGTGTAGGTGAATAAAACTCTGAACAGCACCTGTGTGTTATCTGTCCCTTGACTTATTCCACCCAAGGCTGCTCACTGGCGTTTTCCTTTCTCAGCTCTTGAAGGCCCAAAATACCCAACACCTGACATTATCTTAGTTTGGGAATGAAGAAATCATGCCTTAGATTCTTCTCCATACAGAGGGATTATGTGGGAACTTCCAGCATAGAAGTGTGGGTGGAAGGGGGAGGTATTAGGTTTCTGAAGATCTCTTGGGTAAAGGGCTGACTTTCCTTGAGTAACTTGAGGGTTGGCATTATTTGATACTGAAATCCCTAGTCTCTGTGTAGGATGGCAGGAAGAATGAGAAAGATGGCAAGAAGGAGAGCAAAAGGATGGAGAATGTGGAGAAGGGTCTGTAGGTAGAAGATCAGGGCAAGCTACACATAACAGATTCCAGAGGGTGCGCTGAGTGGTTGAAAAGTTAGTAAACTCTGAAGAAACTGGAGTTGGGGGAAGAACTGTAGGATGTGGGAAGTGTCTCAGGGGCTATAGATTGTAGACTCTTATTTCTCTTACAAGATGAAGAGGCAAAAATGATGTGGAATTGGTAAAGGGCCCTATCTTGGGTCACCAGCCTCAACTTTGGAGTGGAGCAGTACTTATTTCTACTGTGAACCAAGGTGGTCATTTTCCATGTGAATTGTGAGTGAGGTTTCATTTTGATAGCTTGGGTTTTGAAATGTTACAGAATATATGCCCTATGGTTCTTGAACTAACTTCAGAAAGGTGTCCAGACCTTGCCTTACAGTTGAAGGTCTTGAGTGTAATTGGAGGCTAAGCATGGAGGCTCTAGACTAAGGACAAAATCCGTGCAAAGTGTTGGGAATTTAACTTGGATAAAATACCTTCAATAGCTTTGCTCTTTCATTTTCTCTAAAGGCCAACTGGAAACAAACTTTGCATTAATATTCTTAGACATATACTTTCTTTTGAAAGAGGAGGAACCATGTCTAATAAAGTCTGTGCCACATCTGCTCTGCTACTCAAGTCACGCAACTGGCTGAGACAGTGATCAGAGAGAGTGGCCATGGACATGGGACTTCCTTTTGAGCAGTACTGAGGATCCTCACAATAGGATTCATGATCTCAAGATGTTTTGGGGGAGTACTCTATGTCAGAGCCTGAAAAATATCAATTATGGTGTTTCGGATACGGGCCTCAAACTCTATCCCAGGAGCTCACAGTGTCTTTCAGATGCTGGCCTCAGTGGAGAATGTCGCCTAGTTTGCATAACAACAGACCTAGGCCCTGGGTGTGCCTGAACCTGTTCTGAGGGTTTTGTTTATGTGCCTAGGGACTGTTAGGTGTTCCACTAGGGTTAAAAGAATATATTTGTATCAGCTTTATATGTCTTCTGTGGTCACCCTCACTGTTGGAAAGCTATTTAAGAGGATGCTTGAATAAACTGGAGACTCCAGACTCCAGCATGGACTGGGAGCCCTCCTGAAATGACAAGATGTCTGTGTCTCGTCTTTATTGCCATTGGGTTGTTAGACCCCCGGAAAACTCAGGTATCGGGGGTCCCAGGCCACGTTCACAGTCACCCCAATCACCAGGCGGATTCGAGAGCTTGCTGCAAACTGCACGAGGCTTTATTGTAATTTAACGAGCTAACCCCATGTTAGCTCGGGTCTTTCACCCACCCGCCATGGCAGATGGCTGGCAAAAGACAGCTCCTAGGGCCTCCCAAGAGATCTTATAGGACAGCGTAAGGGGAGTGTCTAGGGGTACGCACAGGCTCACGATTGGTGTGCCTCCAGGCTTGGAGGGCTTGCCCTGTGTTGATTGGCCAACTGGTTGTTATGGCCCATAGGCCCTCCCAGGATGGTTGCTATGTTTTGTGCGTCATTGCTGTGCACTTGTCCGTAAAGCACACCCAGGGGCGTAAAGCATAGCGCGCCACCAGCTAACTTCTGATTGGTTCCTTGTCACGAGGCAGGCATTTGACTTTCTAGTGTCTAGGACAAGGTCATAGAAGCACGTGTTCGGCCGTTATGGCTGCCAAAAGAGAAGCTGGTCCCTTCAGGGTAGCTAGGAGTTTCCCGGTCCAGCATTCCCCAACTCAGGGATGGACAGGGGGCCATTCAGCTGGCTCTGATCGCAGCCCCGAAGACATCAGTCAGGAATAGATAGCCTCTGTAGCGTGGGACTGATATAAACTGGGCCCCGGCAAATCTACAGAGTCAGAATTAAAATTCATGGCAGACAAAAGGGAAAGAGTGGACAGAACATTCAGCCTCATACTGTGTTGAACACTTATCAACACTGGTGAATCTGTGCTGGTTTACTTGGAGCATAGGGGAGCCATGTACATTTCAGGGTGGATAGACCAAGACTCATCAGTCAAGTTCCAGCTGCACACAGCAGCAGGGAAGATTAGGAGGTCAAATCCCAGCTCTGCAGACTCAACAGCTGAGCAAAACTTCTGACCTCTCTGTGGCTACTCCCCTCACCCAAAATAAGAGACAGTCACAGTTCCCTTGGAGAACTAAATGGTTCATGCTAATACATGTAATTATGCAAAGCATTGCTTAAAAGCTAATTCTCATCATTTGTTCTTTAATATGAAAACTGAGAAACAAGGCTCAGGGTTCAGAGGCTTCTAAGTCAGACTTGAGCTTCTAACCATAGCACACTTTCAAAATTCTCATTGTTGGTTAAGTCCAAAAGGGATGAGGAAAGAAAGAAACAGAGCTAATGAACCAACGCTGGCCAGTTAGTAAGCTAGCCATGTAATTAATTACATGCAGCCTTGTCATTAGAAGTGGTTCCTGATAGATGAGATTCTGGTGGGTAGAGGAAAAATTGGTTCTTTTGACTTGACTATGTTATAGACATGGGTCAGAGTTGAAGCAGTAGGGCATGGGGGACACCTCCTGAGATTTCCAGGTTCTTCATCCCAGTACAGAGAACTGTACCAGGAACACACGGCTAGAAATAGAAATATTTATTAATAAAGAGAAACACTATCTGGAGAATGGCAGCAGGCTAGAGAGCAGGGAACATGCATAATCTCAAAAGTGCTGGCCCTGTGGACCCTTCATCACCATTTGCAGAGCATCCCCTTTCTGCCAGTGTTTGTAAATCCTGTTTGCTTTCTTTCTCCATGCTTGCTACATTTGTGGCATATTGCCCATATAAGGAAGGGTCCCAAGTCTTCTGTCCACAGCTTCATTCATTTGTTAATTTTGAAGTCTCCTCTTCATCTCTCTAGTCTCTGGTCACAGTTAGGATCCAATCAAAAGCCAACTCAGCAATCATCAATTCATTTTATAGTCATTTGATCCACAAATAGCTGTTGAGTATCCCATGTGCAAGGTACCATTCTAGGCACTGGGTTACCATGGAAACAAGGCTTTGGTTTATTTGGAACAGATGTCCATCTGAGTGATGGTCCAGGTTGGGACCTGTAGTTTCTCACTCTGTAGGCTTTTGCATTTGTATCTCCCTTGGTCAGCAATGGTGGGTGGGTAAATCCAGGCCTGAGCAAAAAGTTAAGGGGTCAAAGTGCTTTAATAATGGGACTTCCGAAGACCCTGAGTACTGTTGTTCACACCACATCACCCCATTTTGAACATCTAAGTTCAAAAGAGGAGACAGGGACAAGCCCCACCAGTGTCGGGTCCTGGTTGCAGGAATTTACAGACTGTTTTCTAATGTTTCTCTCAAATGTTTAATCCTAGCCTAGAAGTCAGCAGCAGCCCTCAGAGCTACACGTACAGGCAGAGTCTCCAGACTGCTGACTATGCTGCTACCACAGGATTACAACTCTAACCCTAGCATCCGTGGCACAAGTGACAACTGTGGTGGCTTAAGCAGCAGATACCCTCAGAACTGGGTTCACTGCAGCCACCAGAGCTTGTAGCACAGCAGGCACAGGCAGACACTGGGCTGGGTTCTTTTGGGGGGGTGTGGCACTTGGTCGAGGAACACTTGGGAGGGGTGGACACATTTGCTGGTTCAGTGGCAGGATATTTCAGCAGGAGTCAATGAGCCTGCACAAAGTAAAGTAAAATAAAATAGTAAAACAAAACAAACAAAATAAGCCAATGAATAAGCTTCAGGCTAGTGCATTCTCATTCTTTAGCTGGAGATACTTACCCTTTCATTCAGCCAAGATCTAGAGAAGGGAAATGGACTTTTTTGGAATTAAATTAAACCAAATGAGCTATGGGTCTTTCCCATCTGTCTTTTAACAGAAGGGCACTTGGCATTCTTCTGGGTGAGCTTTCCCTTCAGCACTGCATGGGATATCACAAAGATCATATGTGAACAGTGCCCCCTGCTGGTTTTCAGTTCACAGGACACACAATGACAATGACAATGGCCCATTGTTTTCCAAGGGGTCCTCACCTCTCTCTCTCTCTCTCTCTCTCTCTCTCTCTCTCTCTCTTTCTCTCTCTCTCTCCTCTGTGAAGAATGTGAAAATCAGTGAGGGTTTGAGGCATGACAGGGAGGGGATGGGATCCTGAGGTCAGTCTCCTCACAGAACACTGCCATGGCTCATGGATCTTCATCTTCATCCCCTTCTTCCACTGTTGCCGTTTCTACCATTCACCAGGGCCTCTGCCACCTACCACCCACCTGTCTTCCTAGGAATCTGCGTGTTGAACCACAGGCATGTCTGCTCAACTCTGAAGTCTCAGGTCCACTTCCCAGATGAGCACTTACTAGTTCCAGCTAAGAACTGTTTTGCACTGACTGTATACCAAGTAACCCAGGACTTCAGACCTTTCATCTTGAGCTGGGTTTTATGGTGCACACATATGTGCCTTTGTTCTAT